GAACATGTCGTAGTGCTCTTTGAGTGGCGGGATCCAACTCTGCAGGCGCATGCACGGCTCGCTGAGAACGAACGCTGGATCCAACGTCTTTCATCATCATGCGAAGCTGCACAGAAGCAAAGGAGCCATCTTCCGAATCTTGAAGTGCTGCTGCGGGGATAGAATTAGAATTCTTTGAGTTCTTTCCCTCTGATGCTGCCACCCTTGCAGCAAGGCTAGGATTGCCAAGCGGACTTTCATTCTGTCTTTTCCTTTTCCTCTGCTGGCTTGATTTGACAAACGGTGACTTTGTATCAAGAAGGGTCTGAGTGATCTCCTGAACCAGAAACTCATCACGTGTGGAAAGACCCTCGAACCCCGCCACTCTCAAGCGAAGTCGGTTGGCAACCCTGGCAGCATAAATTGCGGAGTCTCCGCTTTCAAGGCTATGAAGCATGGAACCGATCCTCTCGCATTCAGAGCTGGCACTATTGCAGGTGCAACACATACAGAGGAGAAAGGAGGCATGCCAACAATGCGTAGTTCGCCCGCTTTGTTCCGATGTGAACCTGTGCAAGGCCCTGTCTGCCAACAGATCTTTGATGATGGCCTCGCAATCCGGCTCCTGCAGAAACACGGGCTGGACCCAACAAATGATGAAGGGTGCCGTGTTTGAACTCTAAACCACTGGGAACAAGTATGAATGATTATATAGTATTTCTATATTTATTTAATAAAACAGCGGTTTTACCAATTTTTGGTCCTGCAACACCTGCTCAACCATCACAATGCGGTCTTTAAATGGCTTTTTGGTAAAGACAGCTGCCGAATCTTTCTCGAACTTGACAACTTGCTTGAAACGAGACTTTTTGCCAAGCTGACCCAAGGAATCCGTACTGCCCTCGAACATGGCCCCGGCTCGCAAAGGCTCTAGAAACCTCCAAATTCTCTGCTTGATGGCAAACAGTTCGTCCGGCTTTGCACGGCGAAATCCAGTGGGTGTGAAGCAACGTCCCAAAACTATTGAAACCAAGGGATCCAGTTTCCT